GCGTCGAGTCCTTTTAGCGAGCCCGCGAAAAGGACCGGAGAGGCGACGGGCAGGTTAAAATGTATCTGCTGCGAGAGCCAGGATCGAACACGAGTCTCTCGCGCGAAGGCTTCGGGTTCCGCCACAGGGGAGAACGACTGTCAACTCGTCTTTGGGCAGGAGAGGGCCCACCAACGGCCGCTGGCGGCAGTGGGCCTCATCCCTGCTGATGCCCGGGTTTATTCCCCTAAGGGCGCGCACTGGTAGACCGGCACATGCCTGTCGTTCGTGAGTGCGGCCTCGGTAGATCCTTGTTTGGGTAGAGCGAGTCAATAGGACCCGCACATATCTGGCATGTAGCAGCCATCGGATGCGGGGAGGAAACATGGTGAGTAACCTCTACTACAACTTCCACGATGACTTCAGATAAGACTTCTAGCGCGAAGAAAGAGATTCTGCCGTAATTGTCGTGCCCATGCTATTTATACTGCCCGCGGACCGGCCAGCATTTGCATGTTTTGCGTCAATTGGCCAGCTGTCTCCAGCTGGCGTTAGCCTATAAGATTTCAGTGAAAATGGAGAAGGGAGGAGTTCCCATATACGTCAGTATGACGTAATGTCGAAGTGACCGCCTTGAAAGGGAACTATAAATAACTTTATATCATTAAAAGTCTGGAAGTATCCGTTTGTTATTTGGCATTTTGTGTTTATAGAACCGGTGTTGTGGTAAAAGGATTCATTGATTGGAACATTATAAACATTTTCTAAGATGGACGATGAGGAAGTTGTTTTATTGTTGTCCACACATGTAAAAATGTGTGGACAACAATAAAACAACTTTTCACCCTACTGTCTTCTTCCACTCTTCATACAACATCTCATTTCTCTTTCATCAATTCCACCTGTACTTCATCATCATCATCTTCTTCTCAGCCTTCCTCCATGATCCTTGTTTTTTCTTTGTGTTTCTTTGTGTTTTCACAGATGAACACATCTTTATATATGCAAATTAGCAAATGGCATTTCCTGTGTTGTGTGCATGACTAAGCCAGCAGATATCTGAAAAACAAACCTGGAAAACCTGAAAACTCTTCAGGTTACAACTGTAACCCTAGTTTCCTGAGAAGGGAACGAGACCCTGTGTCGATGAAGCTTTGAGAACGGCCCTGCGTGATTGCGTCTGAAGGACATGTGTCAACTAATCAAATGGCGAGAATGAGCGTCATGGGCGGGTGGACTTCAAGACCACCAAAGCAAGTCAATCTCAGGGATGTAGGAAGTATGGTAAAGTGATGCAGCGTCTCGTTCTCGACTCAGGGAACTAGAGTTACAGTCGTAATCTGAGACGTTCCCTTTCGAGGAAACCCGCGCTGCGCCAATGACGCTTTGGGGTCGAGAACATGAACCACGTCTGCACTAATGCGTCCAGTCCCGGTCGGGCTGGATGCGTGAGAGAAAACCAAAGTGGACAGTGTGTCGTATCCTGAGACGCAAACAGATCCACCTGTGCCTGGCCATAAACTCCCCAAATGTGTTCCACCACCTCGGGGTGAAGCCTCCACTCCCAGGGCCTCAGCCCCTGCCTCAACAGGAAGTTTGCTCCTTTATTCAGATGTCCCGGAATAAAAATTTCTCTCGGTTGTTTAGTTTTCTTAACTTTCTATCGCGGCTCTATCAACCCAAAGCCAGTATTTCACTGGGAATCACTTAGCATGAAATTTTGCATATTACGTTTATATTCTGAGTTTGCTTGCCTGTTAATATCTAGTACAGCCTACATACAGTATGTATTGGTACACCATTATTACAAAAAGGTATGTTCTTGCTAAATTGCTCCCAAATGTAAGATTGTTGTATCATAATAGTAGAATAAGTGCCCCTTAGTTCTACAATACTTACAGTATACATTTTTTTTTTATTATTATTCTGGTTGTTACCCCTTTATTCCCCAAACTTTACATATTGTTCCCTTATACTTACATGTAAGTACTTTATAGTACACTATAATTACCGAAAGTTACGCTGTAAAATCGCTTTAATTACGCAGTACTTTCCGGGCTGTCTAAAGCGTAACCAGCTTTCTTCTGAGAGTACATATATAATACCCTTTTACATCAATCGTGAAAAAGTTCTGATATGATTTATCTTTGGTTTATTTTTTACATCACAAAAAGCTTTTTAAACAAACAATTATAAATAAACATATGTATTATGAGCTTAGAAAAATCCAGTTTGACTTGGTTCACAGAAACTGTTGCCGCTCTTGTAGTAAGGGTTAATCATTTTAACCCTCTGGGGTCTGAGGTGTTTTCTGGGCCCTTACAAACTTGTGATTTCTATTTTTTCTATTATAAGTTTTTTTTTTTTTTTTTTTTTACAGTTATAGGTTAAGAGGTTGACCTTCATGCTTAGGTCAACCTATAAAAAACGTTTTTTCCGTATGCATCACATGGCACAAATTCATATGAAAACATAGCCTCATAAAATAGTTTTATTTTAAAAAAACGGTAACACTTTATTTTAAGGTGCTTGTAATAAGCAGTAATTAACAGTTAATAAGACACTTATAAGACCTTATACGATGCATATAAGATGCATATAAGCATTAACTACTTCATATAAGGGTTAATTAAAGGTCCAGGCCCTGAAGAGATCAGGAAAACTACTCCCTCTTGGGAAGGTCAATTTTTAAGTAACTGGGAGTTTGTGTTACCATTTATGTTTGTTCGGCTGTTCTAAAAGTGCAATGTATTGATACTTGAGAAATTTATTATTTAATTTAATTTATCTATTATCATTAGTTAATGCTTATATGCATCTTATATGCATCTTATAAGGTCTTATAAGTGTCTTATTAACTGTTAATTACTGCTTATTACAAGCATCTTAAAATAAAGTGTTACCAAAAAAAGACTAAAAGCACCTCATGAACCTTTTTTTTTTTTTTTTACAAGTTTAGGTTTCAGAGTTTGCACAGGTGACAATTACGCATGACAGAGTCACCAACATGTCCCTTATTACACTTTCAGACATACCGGTTGCTCAATAAGACACTTGAATGAACAATGAAGGAGTTTACAGACGGAGAAGGTGTTGAAATGTGATGTGTGGGCGTGTTGGAAACAGGTTAGCAGGAGTATTTAAGAGCAGGACTGCAGGTGTCCGTGTTGTCAGAGATGAAGATGATCCACATACTCAGTGTAGCATTTGTCCTCTCTCTTCTAATGAGCGGTAAGACCTTTTATTGTATAATTGAGTTATGTTTTGACTAACATAACTATTGCTTACTTTTATGCAACTACGTTTTATATTGCATGTACACTTTTTGGTTAGACTTTATTTTAAGGTATCATTGTTACAGTGTAATTATATATTTAAGTTTAAGGAATATTAAGCAACTACATGTACTTATAGGGTTAGGGTTTGATTAGGATTGGTTGTGGGTTGGTTGCATGTAATTATGCATAATTTACTGTTATTACTAAGCAGAGGTGGAAAGAGTAATAAAATATTCTATTCAAGTAAAAGTACGACTACGTCAATGAAATTTTACTTTAATACAAGTAAAATTACCGGTCTAAAAATCGACTCAAGAAAAAGTAAAAAGTAGCTCATATAAAATGTACGCAGAATCAAAATTACTGAGTTACTTTTTTAACAGCGGGGATGGGGTGGGGGACTCCCCTGTGTAGGGTTGTAAAAGTATGAGATTTTCACGGTATGATAACCATCTCAAAAAATATCACGGGTTACGGTATTAATCAACTATTAAATAAATAAACGGTATTATTAAATCATCAGTTCCCTTTCGAGGGAACTCGCGATGCGTCAACGACGCTTTGGGAACGCCCCCAGCGTGAATGTGTCTGAGCATCAATGTCAACTAGTCCAATGGAAAGAATGAGCGTCACGGGCGGGTGGCATACGACGCACTGTCCACTCTGGTTTTCCCTCACTCAACCAGTCCCCTCGGGGCTGGTTGCTATGGTGCAGACGTGGCCGAGGCTACGTCTGTACGCATTTCCCCCTGTTGCTCTGCTCCCAGGAGTTCTAGAGTGATTCCGCCAGGATGGAATAAGCCTATTTAGTAGCACCACCCTGGCCGAGCTGAATTTGGTTTGCGGACCTAATTTTTCTCCTCGACGGACCTCCCTTGGAGGTCCCGATCAGGAGAGACCTTCTGTCTCAGGCAGGGGATGCAATATTGCACCCCCGGCAGGGGATTTGGAACTCATAGATAGTGGTCTCTCAACCGAGGTTGTTGAGACCATTCTAAGCTCCAGAGCTCCCGCTACGAAGAAACTATATTCACTATTTCGAGAGTTTTTCACTTCTTGGTGTTACCAGCGTCAGTGGGATCCGGTTAACTGTTCAGTAAACACAGTATTCGAGTTTCTGCAAGAACGCTTTGGATCAGGTCTATGTCCTTCCACGCTTAAGGTATACGTGGCGGCCATTGCGGCTCTCCACGCCCTGGTGGGTAGTACATTTTTAGGTCACGACACCCTGATCACTCGTTTCCTTCGTGGCACTTTGAGGCTGAGGCCTGCAACTTGCACTAGGGTGCTGGCTTGGGACCTGGCAATAGTTCTAGAAGGCCTATCTGGGGCTCCCTTCGAGCCCTTAGATTTGGTCTCAGAGAAGTTCCTTTCTTTTAAAACTATATTCTGCTAGCTATTTCGTCCCTATAAGAGTCAGACCTTCAGGCCCTTTCGGTCCCCACCTGCCTTTAGTGCACCGGGGATGGCCAAGGCAATCTTACCCGAAACATGGATATGTTCCAAAGGTGCCTACCATTATTCCGAGGCCTATTGTGCTGCAGGTTTCTGTCCTCCCCCCTTTTTCGGACCAGGAAAAGCTGAACCTCTTGTGCCCAGTGCGAGCACTGGACACTTATGTTCATCGGACTTCTCTGTTGAGAAAATCCAACCTATTGAGCAAATAGATAGTCGAGACTATTCTTCTTGCTTGTGAGTCTTCTGGCCAACCATTTGGTGGTCAGGGCTCATTCCACTAGGAGTATGGCTTCTAAGCGTATTATCTGGAGTTCTCTCCAAGACGTTTGTGATGCGGCAGGCTGGTCCTCACTGCTCACATTCGTGAGGTTTTACAGCTTGGACCTGGATGCTGCCCCAGGATCCCAGGTGCTTGGTGCAGTGACAACAGGCTGACACTCAGGCATTTGAAAGTCTGCCGTTTTGGGTATTCTCGTTCCCAAAGCGTTGTTGACGCATCGCGAGTTCCCTCGAAAGGGAACGTCTCAGGTTACAACTGTAACCATAGTTCCCTGAGAAAGGGAACGAGACGATGCGTCACCCTGCCATACTTCCTGCATCCCTGTGATCGGCTTGCTTCGGCGATTTCGAAGCTAATGTCGGTTTGCACCGGATGTGCTTTTATCCCATTTCGAAGCTAATGCCGGTTTGCACCGGATGTGCTTTTAACCCATCCTGGTCATGACGTCACCCGCCCGTGACGCTCATTCTTTCCATTGGACTAGTTGACATTGATGCTCAGACGCATTCACGCTGGGGGCGTTCCCAAAGCGTCGTTGACGCATCATCTCGTTCCCTTTTTCAGGGAACTATGGTTACAGTCGTAACCTGAGACGTTAAACAGACTCAGGCTCGGCAGGCATGACTTGAACAGTCTCTGACTAGGGCTGTGTATTGACAAGGGGCTCACGATACGATACATATCACGATACATGTGTCACGATACAATATATCATGATATATCACGATGCAATATTTTTTTTAACAAAAATGTAAAATATAATAGGTGAAAATACAACTTGCTGTGTATCACCTGAGGTATTGTGGTATTTGTATCACATTATATTGAAAACTCAGCAGAAAAATAATAACTTCTATTCAAATTTATTAGCAAAGCCTTTGTTCAGCTTATCTGTCACTGAACAGTGAACACACTGAAATGTATGAAGTGCATATTGTGTCACTGAACACTTAAAATGTAGATGAGTATGTTGAAATTTAAAATGTAAGTGCATTAGGTAAACATTCATGAATGAATGAATGAATGAGTGAATAAAAAACATTCATAAAAGCGAAATAGCATGTATGCTTAATTCAACAATATTATTGATCTGCCTGCATTGACACCATTGTACGAGAACTGAACTGATTGATGACATCACGGTTTTCTCCCGAACTGCTGTATAAAAAAACTCAATTAATAACTAATGCTTTTTACAACCTAAATGAATCAAGTACTGAACAAACTTAATCTGGACAATGACACTATTTTCTTCTAGAGCTGCTGTAAAAGCTTTAACAAACGTTGTTGCGTTATTTTACTGTTATCACTCACTATAAAGCTGCTTTGAAACGATGTCTGTTTTGTAAAGAGCGCAATATAAATAAAGGTCACTTGACTATGTTCTACTATGCAAACAATTTTTTGATATTTGATAGTTTGATTACTCATCTGTGAGTCGCGATCACAGTGCGCGCATCCATAGTGTTCACCAAATGCCTTTTAAAGCCGGGGTTTTCAACCACTCTACAGGGCCGCAAATCCTTACAAATCTGTTATTTTCTTTGCACAAGCTGAGGTAGGCGGAAGCTTGCTGGCGTTATTATCCAGTGTAGTTTGAATCAACAGATTTAGGCAGAGGTTGCAGTGCCGCCATTTCATCTGCGTGATGTCGATAACGCAAGTTGGTCGTTTCCTGAATATTTTTGTGTAGCCTGGCAAAGCTTACAAACGGCATTTGTTTCATCTCATTTATTACCAGAGCCGGACAGTAACGGAGTACATTTACTTGAGTACAGTACTTGAGTACAATTTTGAGGGATCTGTACTTTACTCGAGTATCATTTTTGGGGAGTACTCATGACTTTACTCAAGTACATTTGAGAGGCAAATATTGTACTCTTTACTCCACTACATTTCTATCCATAACCGTGAGAACCCGTTACTTCTAAAAAAAAAAAAAAAAAGGAAAAAAATGTCCTGTTGTTTCCCTCTCAAACGTGATTGGATTGTGCAGGCGCCACTGATTGGTACAGCCTATCAGCAATCACCTTCAGCTTTCCGCCAAAGTAAACGTCATGGTCAGATTTAGATAAGAGACGAAACAGGTTCAAATGTGGGTGCAAAAAATCCATTAAAACTCTAGCAGAGGTTTGTCAGAGCGTTGCCATTGTGCATTGCTTTCTGGGCAAGTGAAAAATGTTAAATAAAGCAACATGGTAAAAAGATGAAAATGACTTGAATTAACTTTCAATTCCTTTTAGATTATCAAAGGTATTAACATTAACATTTTTTCATAACTCCATGTAGGACGTTTCTGTACATAAATGTAAGCACGGTTCACGTACCTACCCCGAAGTGATAAAATAAATTCTGCATCAAATTTATAGGCAAAGAGAGAGCAGTAATCTTTTTACTGGAAAGAGAGAGCAGTAATCTTTCCTCATTTGTATGTCCTAGCTAAAAAATATCTTTGCATGCCAGCAGCAACAAATGTCCCTTGTTAGGGGATTTTTTCAAAGGCTGGAGAAATTATCTGTAAAAAAAGAAGTAGGCTAAGTCTTTCCACAGCAGAGAAATTCATATTTTTGAATAAAAATCTTTAAAAAAGTGAGACATTGTGGCTTGACTTCTTTTATTTTGAAAAGGACCAAAATAACAGTATGCACAGTGAGGAGCCTATAGGTTACAAGCTTCACATATTAGAAAAATACAATAATAAAAAATAATAAAAAAATGTTAATGGCTCGTCAAGGTTGTTTCAGATCAACACCTGCAAGTGACCACTAGGTGTCACAGTGGAGACGGGTGTCGGATTGATTCGAAGCCTCGAAACAATATGACCATTTGGTTCAACTGTTTCATTGGTTCACGAAGCCTCGATCTGCCCATTACTAGTGTACATACAAAGTACATCCGACAACAAACCAGCACAGGACTGGAAACACAAGGAGAATACATAGGGAGACCAAACAAAGGAGGTAACGAGGGAGGACAGGTGGGGCAAATTAAATCAATAATCAGGTGACAGGATGTGAGGGGCTTGACAATTGACATGAGACACACATGCACATGGCACAAGGAAACATAACCAGCCATGTGCTCATACCAAACATGACTAGATCACAAGCACATGGCCAGTAAAACAAATCCCAAGCCATGTGCTCACACAAAACAAGACATGAACACACAGCCAATGAAAACACTCATAAACCAAGTGTTCATGCAAAACATGACAAAGTGAAAGCACACAGCAAGTGAAACAAGCTGATTTTACGGCAGTCTTTTTGCGCTTTAATATTCACAGACCATGTCGCGATTGGATTGATTGCACCTCTCTACTTTCGATTTATTCATCCATCCAACAGTTGGCGTGTTTTACATGACATCTGCGTTATGTAGGACAAATCAATTTTAATCACTGGATTCCTGGATTCCCTCTGCATCACGGAATTCATTCTGCTTTACCTTATAAACGGGACATACCTTTATCTGCACGGAGGGATGGTGTTCTCTGTTTCCTACTTTTGCATCCACTTTCCCTCCACGTTTTTTTACTAATTGGATACCTATCCTCAAGGACAACCACACCCTCTACATCCAAATATTCCCATACTGGCAATGGTTCGCTTAGTAAAATAATTCCACGGCGTTTCGCTTTCAGCTGGGTCTGCATCACCTTTGCTTGTTTGTTCTCCCACCCGTCAATCAATGCACTAGTTTCCGGAGAGCGATTTTTTACCCGCTTGTATTATTTTTTTACTCAGTAACGGGTATGGTTTAAAATGTAGCGAAGTAAGACTTCAAACAAAACGTACTTAAGTAAAAGTAAAATAACAGATTTTAAGTACACAAAAAAAAAACTCAATTACTTAACACGAGTAAATGTAATTTGTCACTTTTCACCTATATGGTAAGTAACATATGTAACAAGGACACTGTAAAATAAAGTGTTACCAACTTTTTTCTCCATTGAAGTTATCGGTAACTAAACATTGTTTCTTTTTTCTAGGGTGTGACACACAACTGGATGGTAACTAGTTTTTCAACTATTTAAGTTGCCAAATTCCATTAAAAATGACCAATTGTTTGTCTAAAATGTGTTTTCCTTACCTTGTCCATTGTCAGCTTGTGGCAAAGCACGTTTCAACTCAAGGATAGTGGGGGGAGTGGATGCACTGGCTGGGGCTTGGCCATGGCAGGTCAGCCTTCATAGGAGAGGGAGCCATTTTTGTGGTGGATCACTCATCAACAATCAATGGGTTCTGACAGCAGCTCACTGCTTTAAGAGGTCATTATAATAAACCAGCCCTTGCAATTATTTTTAAAAAATCATTCAATTGATGTGGAGAATGCTTAACACTTCCCTTTCTCCCATTCCAGTGTTTCAACCTCTGGCCTAATTGTGTACCTGGGCCGACAGACACAGGAAGGAACAAATGCATATGAGGTGTCCATAGGTGTCTCTAGTATCATAAAACACCCAAACTATGTTAGCAGGACTCTCGATAACGACATCACTCTTCTGCAACTGGCTTCGCCGGTGAGTTTTACTGACTTTATCAGTCCGGTCTGTCTGGCTTCCTCAAACAGTGTGTTCTTTGACCAAACCTCCAGCTGGGTCACAGGATGGGGAACGATTCATTCAGAGAGTACGTATTTAATTCAACTAACCTCAAGCAGAGTCACAGGATACTGTACTATTGCGATAGTTGACGTTTATTTGACCATTGTATGCGTTTCTCAGCTCCCCTGCCTTCACCACAAACTCTACAGGAAGTGGATGTGCCTATTGTTGGAAACAGGCACTGCAAGTGTCTTTATAGTGCCTCAACAATCACAGACAACATGATATGTGCTGGACTATTGGAAGGGGGCAAAGACTCCTGTCAGGTAACAACTCCCACACTTCTGTTTGTGTTACTTCACACAGTTTTAATGGGCTGCTAATATTCTGCAAAGTTTATATAGTTATAGTTAAGAATAAGTAGAATGAGGGGTCTCGACTAAAACTTTCACTTTAGACAAATAAACTGAGCCATAGGGTTTAACTTTGTCCGGGAACTCAACCTAGTGAATCATTTTTAAAACACTATTGGATTAATTGCAATGTTCGGACCATTGAGATTTTGCGTGCGTGCGTGTGTGTTTGTGTGAGCCTGGTCATGTTGTAGTTTTCATGTGACAAGTCTTCCAACCATAACAGTATAATTTTCAATGACGAGTGTTGATCGTCCATAAAAACAAGAGAAGCACTAAAATCTTCAGGACATTTCCTAACATAAGACTAACTTGACGCTTTAAACATGCAATAACAAGGATGTCATCTTCCCATTATTCCTTCATATTATATATTACAGCTGTGAACTACAACTGGAGTAGATGTGTGGAACAGGTTACTTGGCATGTCACTAACCTGTTCTTCATCCTACAGGGTGACTCTGGTGGTCCTATGGTCAGCAAACAGGGTTCGCTCTGGATCCAGTCTGGAGTTGTGAGCTTTGGCATAGGTTGTGCTGAACCCAACCTTCCTGGTGTGTATGCCAGAGTTTCTAAGTACCAGAACTGGATCAATGAGCACATCACCACCAACCAGCCAGGCTTCATTACGTTCACCTCCAATGGTATTGACGGTGACCTGAGCATCAGCTGTACTGATGTGCCTGCCATTACCACAACTACTGCCCCTACAACTACTGTCCCTACAACTACTGTCCCTACAACTACAACTGTCCCAAGTGAGGTTCCTTCAAGTTATACGATCCTGAAAAAATCATGCATAGCTATCACTTGGCCACTTGTTCACTTGGCCACTTGTCCAAGGACTTTTGTGGATAAAAATGTACTTGATTTCAAAGTGTTTTTTACTTAAATTCAGGTAAACACATATTTATATTGCTAGTGAAGGACATCCAGACCCAATGCGGCAAAAAAATAACTACAAACATTTAAAATGCATTCAAAATTAGCTACACTTTCATCAGATATCATCATTTCATTAGAGTTCCTAAATGCAAAAATGAGCAAACTGACTTATAATAAGTCCTCTCACTTATAATAAGTCCTAAGTCGCTCTCTGGCCAAATGGCAGGCCAGGTAGTCAAGCCGCTGCTTATGCTATTTGCTATCAACACTGTCCCGTCAGCTGATCTGCTCCAGCTGAGCCGCATTAGCTGGTTAACTCCCCTCGCTGCTCAATGGCCAAAGCTCAAACAAGGCGCCCTATTTAAAGCTCATTCACCTTGCTCATACATGCTTGCTGCTCGCTTCTGCTGGCTCGCTTCTGCTGGCTCGCTGTTCGCTTCTGCTGCAATATTGACACAGGATTCGACGTGATTCGTGCTCCATTCATCTCTGAAGTTTCACGAAGCTAAGTTCCTTTTAATATTCATTGCTAAAAGCATCAGTGTGTTGGCAACATGCTTGTTGTTAATGCTATCCGTGTGGCATTTGGGCTTATCTAATAGTCGTTTTCGTAAATATGCTATGTGATCATATTGGCTATGTGCGTTACTATTGTTGTCATTGGCAACTGATCGCGTTGCTCACGCTGGCTTTTACCACTATGCAGCGCAGATTCAAGCAGCTTGCTGTGATAGGATTTAACCTCTGCCTCCGGACCGTATACAGCTCATTCTTACGCATTGTGCAGCAACTATGGCGGCGACACTCGCTCCGGTTTAACCCTTTAAGCTATGGGGCAGTGGTTTCTGCTGCTTACGAACGATACCTCCGTCCCGATGTTCGGGATATTCTTGACGCCCAGAAAGCCAAGAGCTCAAGTCTCTGATTTGTTTCGTTAATAAAACACATTTGATCATTATTTTGCTCGCGCTCTGCTCAGTTAACGCCCCTGAATGCGCTATCAGCTGTTAATTTATTCATCTAGCTCGTTCTCAGAGGTGGATTAGTCATCTATCCATAGAGTTTACACTGTAAGACAGAGCTGTCAAACAGTTTAAAGACAGATAATCTAGGTAACAGCATGTTTTAGCTATTGCGGTCTTGTTTAGTCATTTCAGTAATTAATTAATATACTATTATAAATCGCTAAATCAGGGCGGCTCAGTCGACACCGTTCGAGACACTCAATTTTGTTTTGGGGGGAATAGCTCGTGTGGTCAAATAAATCATCCTCTGTATCACAGAGGATTGCCAGGTATGGTTTTGTTTGGGGGGATATTTTAGCTCTCACAGTCTAAAACTGTGTGAGCGTTCCCTAATGCTGCTGCTGCTGTCCTCTGACTCTCTGCTATTTCATGGTGCTCATGAAAGGTCAGAGGACTCCCTGAACAGAGCCATACCGCCAAATTTCAATTCAGGAACATCAACCTGTTTGCAGTCTATTCAATTAAATTCTAAATTATTTTGTTTGTGTGTTCTTGACTTAATGGACCTGACAGAACTGATATTTCAGTAAGGAGGTAAAGGTTAGGATCATGAATTTTCAGTCATATTTCAGCACACTGTGAGTGTATATTATACATTATAGTATATATTAGTATACTAAGTCTGAAGTCACAAGCATGACACTTTTTCATTTATACTTTTGACTGGCTCATTATAAATAACTGATTCATAAGTCCACCTCTGCTGGGGACTGTAGTGAATGCTGGGGATTTTTAAATGCTTAGCTTAAAGGTGCACAATAAATGAAAAGTACTTGAAACGGTGTAGAGGCTTGGACCCGGAGACGGTGTTTGTGATGTCAAACAACGGATAGCTAGTAATTTTGACTATTCAAACAATGGCCTGAAAGCCTGTTCTTCCAGTGCTCTACATAGCTTTCATGTTCTTTGCTAATAGCCCATTACTGTGTAGTCTAAGCATAATCAAAGATCAAGGAAATCAAAGAAACATTTTACTGATAAATCCCGGCGTTCGTTGTCTTTCTCTCTGTTCCTGTAGCTGTAGTGTGTGGACGTGCCAATCTGAACACCCGTGTCGGAGCAAGCAGTTCCCTTGTGTCTCCAGGCATATGGCCCTGGATGGCCAGTCTGCAGTTTAACGGAAATCACGTTTGTGGAGGAACGCTAATTGCTGACCGGTTTGTCATGAGCTCTGCCAGCTGTTTTACCAGGTAATGGCACTTAAATATGAAAAAAGGACATTTGATTATGGAGAAATCAAAATGATTTGATTTAATGGTATTCTTTTTTGTCCAGCTCCAACAACGCTTCCGATTGGTCCGTGATCCTGGGCCGTCTACATCAGAACGGCTCCAACCCCAATGAGGTCTCTATAAAAGTGGCGAATCTCACCATCAGCAATGCCACGGGCGACAACGTTGCTGTCTTGCAGCTGGTCGTTGCACCAAACCTTACGGATTTCATTCAGCCTATATGTGTGGACGTGGGAGAGAATACCTTCAGCGCTGATACTCAATGCTGGGTGGCAGGATGGAGCTCAGGAGCAGGAGGAGGTGTGTTTTGTGTGTATGTGTGGTTCGAGTAAATCGAGTAAGTCGCCACAAAGACGTTTTTTGTCGCCATGATGAGAACAGCTGATAAATCATACTAAGTGATGTTTTTTGAAAATGTACAAATGCAAGTATAAAAATCATTCTGTATATGGAAAGTCCCCATAATACATGTGTGTGTCCTGGTGAACCCTACTTTATGGGGATATACAAAATGGATATTTTCCCTCATGAGGAAAACAGTTTATAAATCATAATAAGTAATGTTTTCTGTAATGGGTAGGTTTAGAGTTAGGGTGTGTGTGTGAATGCTTTGAAACATTACACTAACTGCTAAAATTAGATTATTAGAATGTTTATCCTTTTTTCCATGTCTTCCAAATTTTAAGTTGTTTTCCTTCTTTTACAGTGAATCAAACTCTTCAGGAATCCAAGACCTCTATCGTGGGTTGTGGAAACTCACAAAGGAACAGTATTTGCACAAGTTCTTTGAACTTACAGCAGGCAAGTCAATTCTGTTTAAAACAGGAAGGAAATATAATATATGTACCGTTTACAATAAGGTTTGTTTATTATTATTTAACGCATTAGGTAACTTGAACTACAAATTTGTTTAGATCAAGTTAGATTAATGTTCAATTATATATGTATATATATATATATATTACATTTCAAGTTGTATTAACATTAATTAATGAATTATGAACAAACATTAATTAACAATGAACATTATATATTCTGAATTTTCAGCATCATTACTCCAGTCTTCAGTGTCACATGATCCTTCAGAAATCATGACATGATTTATTTTCATTTATTTTTATTATGATGAAAACAGTTGTGCTGCTAAATATGTTTTTCACGATTATTTGATAAATAGAAAGTTCAAAAGAACAACTTGTTTTTTAAATAAAAAAAATATATATTTTAATATAAATGTCTTGACTGTCATTGGTCAATTTAAAGCACCTTTACTGAATAGAAGTGTATTTATGTTCAATTTTACTGACAAAACTTTTTGAACAGTATATGTTCCAACTAAACATTTTAATATACCATTTGTTTCTCCTGAAAATGAGTATTATCTGTCTGCAAAGATATAAAGTGACAAATATCATTTTTTGTAACATTCAGTGAAGATTTCCCTCTCTCACACACACACACACCACAGGGTGATGAAGGGGGTCCGCTGATGTGTAAGCAGGGTCTGTCATGGATCCATGCTGCTGTTTTGACAAGTAGCAGATCCCGCTCTGCTCTCCGACAAGATGTCCAGGTCTTAAGTAAAACCTCCAGCTTTGCATCATTCCTGAGAACTGTGGTGGGCCCTTTCCCTCCAAAAGCCACAAGCTCCACAACCTCCACAACCTCCACAACCCCCACAAGTGCAAGTGCAACTACAACCAGCACCAACAAACCCCAAGCTGCCACTACTGGGTCACAAGCATCTTCTTCCGTCTCGTTTACCGTCCTGTTCCTCTCACTTGCAGCTTTCCAAATCTTTCTTCAAGGCATCAATTAAGTGTTTTGAGTAGAAATGGCAACTTTTCATGAACTACAATACCAATAATAATTCATTCATTACATTTATAAAGCGCTTTTCTCAGCTCTCGAAGCACTTTACATAGAAGGGGGAATCTCCTCAACCACCACCAATGTGCAGCATCTCCTGGATGATGCGACGGCAGCAATATTGCGCCAGAACATCCCCAAACCCCAGCTTACTGGTGGAGAGGAGACCGTGATGAAACCAGTCAGTATATGGGGATGAATTGGAGGCCATGATAGAAAGAGGCCAAGGGGCAAATTTGGCCAGGATGCCGGGGTTACACCCTTACTCTTTCGAAAGACATCATGGGATTTTTTGTGACCACAGAGAGTCAGGACCTCGGTTTAACGTCTCATCCGAAGGACATCGAAAGCTTTTGTGGAGCACATAATTCATTTTTACTTCTGACAAATGTGAACTCTTAAGATCTCTATTATCTCACACCATGAAGCTGTTGCCGGTTGTTCTTACACTACTATTACATTGCATGGTTTTCTCTGGCAGTACCTTAAAACAAGTGCATAGCTAATAATTTGTGTAAGCAGGCTTATAGTTTACATACTGTATAGTTTCATTGTAGCAGATACAAAATGTAGTTGTTCTTCAGCACGGCACTTTATGAAAATGTCCCAATTCGAGTGGTTCAGTTCCAACACTCACTATAACGCAGCTTAACCAACAAATACCTCAAGCTGTACCCCACTTGGGACATTACTGTAAGTTAAATAAATTATAGAGTACTTTGAAAAATTCATCTATTTTATTCAAATGTGAATGTGTATTTTTTTAGGTTGTACAAATTATTCAATTAAAATAAATTAAGCTGAAAAAAAAACTCTGTTTTGTGCATTTATTTGAAGCATCCTGGGCAAGAGGCGGAGGCATGTGGTAAGAACGTGGCTTATATTCTGCAGAGTCATTGCTGCTGTGAATGTGAGCCTGTGCAGTTTAACAGATACTGAAAAAAAAAAATGAAAAAAAAAGATACTTCCCAGATAGCAAACGGTCATTGAAACTATGTTAAATCAACATTCCATTGTCAACATTAAGTCATTGAATCAACATCGAACTCTGATGTTGATTCTACATCATTTTGCACCCTGTTTTAATATTGAAACAACGTTGAAATCCTGTCCATAGATCAACGAAATTTCAATGGTATTTAAATGATCAGGAATGTTGAAACAATGTTGAAATTTCAACTGAACTAAGGATCAACGTGATTTCAATGGAATTTCAATCGTTATTAAGCCATAGAAAATGATTGCTCACTAAACACAATGATGTCCAAAAGACGTCTTTTCAACGTCTTTGTCACAAAAGTCGGACGTTGAAAAGACGTCCACTGAGGAGCCAGAATGAAAGTTTTTATGACGTATTTTTTTGACGGTTTCTGCACGTCCGATATAGACGTTCATGGACCCTCTTCCTACAAGGTTAAAAACTTGTTCAAATGTGGCCATTGTGGACATATTTTTTACATAATTTATGGTCTCATTTAGACATAATTACTTTGACTATTGCTGTCAGATGATATTAGTGAGAATTAGCAGAGGTTTACATGTTGATATTTGTTTCATTTAAAGTGTCACCATTGTGGTGATCAGTGTTTGCTTTAGTTGGGCTCTTGGTCCCCTTTATTTTTACTTTAGCTTTTCTTTGGCTGCTGTAACTGTATGTTTGTTAAACACACTGTTATTTGCAACTGATGTTGCAAAGAAAGCCAAGAATAAGTAACATCAGGTGTTATCAGCTTCATGTTGATGATGATGAAATCATCACAAAACAAGCATATAATGTTGTCAGATACTTTGGCATTTCTAGCCGCCTACCTTGTAGAACTGCAATATTGGCACCAATAGCATTTATAATATCACTTATTTAGAGGTGGATAAAAATGATGTGCATACGATGTTTAGAGCAAACATATCATGTTGTAACACACAGACATCAAGATTTTGCATATGATTCACAACAATGGTGACAAAAAAAATCATCATGCTGCAATGCATGATGGGTAGCCTTCATAGTTCAAAACTCATCATTGATTCCCAAGCTTTTTTGTTTTGATTGTCACCGTTGTTGTGATTCATAGCCAAAATCTTAATGTCTGTGTGTGACTACATGATGCATTTGCTCAAAACATGTGCACATGCTTTTTATACTTTAAAAATATTTTTTATTCTATTGGCACCAATATTGCAGTTCCACAAGGTTGGTGGTTGAGAATCCCAAAATATAAACACAATTTCAAACTCAACATTTGATGCTTGTTTTGTGATGATTATGTCATCATCAACATTGAGCTGAAAACACCTGATCTTACTTTTTCTTGGCTTTCTCTGCCACAACATTTGTGTCATACAAACACACAGTTACAGCAACCAAAGAAAAGCTAAAGTAAAAATAAAGGGGACCAAGAGCCCAACTAAAGCAAACACTGATCACCACAATGGTGACACTTCAAATGAAACAAATATCAACATCTAAACCTCTGCTAATTCCCACTAAGATCATCTGACAGCAATAGTCAAAGTAATTATGTCTAAATGAGACCATAAATTATGTAAAAAATATGTCCACAATGGCCACATTTGAACTAGTTTTTAACCTTGTACGAAGAGGGTCCATGAACGTCTATATCGGACGTGCAGAACACGTCAAAAAAAGACGTCATAAAAACTTTCATTCTGGCTCTTCAGTGGACGTCTTTTTGTGACAAAGACGTTGAAAAGGCGTCTTTTGGACATCATTGTGTTTAGTGGTTAGTGTATTAAATTGAGAATCTAAACGCGATTAGAGAAATATTGATATTAGTATGGTATTCCAATGTATTAGGCTAATTATGTGCTGAGCTAGCATGTGTATTGTCAGCTAACTTAGTTTATGATAAAAAATAAAATAAAACTCAGCATTGGAGCTTTACAATGAGTGAACTGAGAACATTGTCTCTTTAGACAGAAGAACTCAAACCACACTCCTTTACTCGAGTCTAGAAGAATCTACAAACTAGGCTTTTAAATTGTTGATCGCGGGATTTAACGTTAAAGTTAGGCCTAACGTTATTATATGTCTTGGAGCTGGTGAGTCAATTTTGCAAGCTTTTGCAAATGTCTCTGTTAGTAGCCTAAGTAAAAACAAATAGCTAATATTGCTGTTTGTGTTTCCTTCATGATCCAGGCATTTTGGGAGTAACGTTAAATATTATCCAGCCACACGATCTTCAGATGGTGAGTATTGTCATAAAATACACGTGAAATAGAGGCAGAACATGTACACTCTGCTCAAAGGCACACTGGTTCAAACCCTCCAGACAATGTTTTATCTTCTATCTTCTTGAGTTTATACAGGCCTAGCTGACCCAAAAATAAATGTCTAACTTACTTTTGTGAAACACAAGATTGTTGGGAATAAAACAACTGTATTGCATGAGAAAAACAAAAACAAATAAGGCATTTCTCAAGATATCTTAATTATGGTTCTACATAAGAAACTCATACAGTTTCAACATGAGGGTGAGTAGGCTACATAATGAGAGAACTCTTCTTTTTTTTTTGGATGAGCTGTTCTTTTAAGGACATTTGCTAAATTAACCATGGTTTTTATTATAGTAAAGGTGTAGAAACCATGTTTTTTTATGGTGGATTGATTACAATAATTTATTACCATTTGGTTAGTGTCACAAAACATTGTTAATTTTAGTAAGGGTTCTCCAGATTTATATAACACATAATAATTTATATAAGGAACACATTCAAAATGGCCCTATGTCACCCAGATCAATAATCTATTAACACACTTTTTAACTTTTTTTTTTTTTAGATCAAGCATTGGAACAATGTTAACGGAGCAGAACAGGCACCAACAGAGAAACAAGTCCATCACTAGTAAGTATCCACTGCAGTATCTAAAACCGTAGTCAATTTTAAAGGCACAGTGCACTCCAAAATAAAAAAAAATCTATTTGTTTCCGTGCCATTCCAGATGTATATGACTTTCTTTCCACAAAGATTTTTATTTTATTGTAAGCCAATTATCCATTATTGTAAGCCAATATAATGCAAGTGCATGCCTCCAGAAACTGTGTTGTTCACACAAGATGTTTTCTGCATTTATCATGTGAGCTTTACAATGCTCTTGGACTTTTTCGACCTTCCGCATTTTGGTGTCTATTCACTTGCAGTATTTAACACAAACACAAGAGATGGATAATTTTTCTAAAAGTCTAGTTTATTTTTTCTAAAATGTGTTCATCTGAAGAAAGAAAATCACATACCCTTTCGGACGGCATAAGGTAGAGAAAATAAAGGGGGTATCAGTTTACTCTCCTTTAGCTACTATTTATAAACCTTACATGTGATTTAATAAATTTACAATTAAAGGGGTGTTTTTCCAAGCAAACAGTTATGTGTGTTTATATTAGGGGTGTACGATTCAGAAAATGTCACGATTCCGATTTTTAGGCTCAAGATTCGATTCAATAGCGATTTTCGATGCAAAAACGATTCTCGATTTAAAAAAACGATTCACAGTATGTAAATGTAGTTACTTTTCCTATGTAGGTATTAGGGATGTGCATCTCCATAACTGAGGCCGATGCGATACGCATGTCGATGCATAGCCAACGATACGATACATTAAAGATAGGCTACATATAAGCAGCTACCGATGCAATGCAATGCGATTCACTATTATTACGATGCGGTGCGATTCGATTTCAACTCAACGCGATGCGATTCAATGTAATACGATGCAATGGAGAAAAATATGATGCTATGCAATTCAATATTCAATTCTTTTATTTATTTTGTTCATATTTTGTGCCATCTGACTTTTAACGCATGGCTCTTTCACATACAAAAGATTTGGTTTTCACAACAAACAAAAAACATACCGTTGCGACGTTCGTCTGTTATAGGACAACTTAGTTTGAATAAACGAGCAGACACTGCTACTTGCTCTACGTTTATTTAAAATTAACAGCTAGACAACT